TGTTGGCTACTTACTCCATTTTTTCCTGATCACACCTATATGAACTGCCTGCCCCCAGAGACTAAAATCTTCACAGTGGAACTTTATAAATTTTGTAGGCTATTCAGCAGCTGCTTCTTTGATGTCACCTTCCTGTGTCGTTATGATTGACTCTTGAAGTGCCCTCATGGCTCTAGTGTCTTTTTAACCCTTTGCATCTAGTGGTGGTCGAAATCCAAAACTGGCCATTTCTTATATCTAGTGGATACAAGACAATCAAATTTTGTTAGGTTTCCAGCCATATTGACGTTAACTTAAATGAACAGTGCACACCACTGCCAAGAAGGCTATTCATAATTTCAAAATTTCCCGGAGAGGGATTCCTTTTTCATGTTTCTACCCAGTCATTTATTTTGCAATCTGTGACCATTGACAGGGTTATTAGGCTGGCATTACAGGTAACAAACTACATACTTATAGGTGATCTTTTCTCTTGGCTATCATCCTACCACCATAATAGACAATGGGAAATGGCCCTGGCTAGGTTGTGTATTGGTCACACTTACTTAACTCATGGGTACTTAATGTAACAATGTCCTGCTCTTTGTCTGAACTGCATTGTCCCAAGTCATACACCTTTTTGTACAATCTCCCAATATTCAAAATAATTGTTAATTTTGCTAACCTAATGTCAATAGAATCCTTGCCAAATATGATACCTATATCTCTCCCTTATGACATTTTGTCCTCGTATTGGCATCCTGTGTGATATTTAGCAGCATTTTTTTTTTATTATGACACAGTAGATGCTAGTCTTCCCAGCTTGGCACATTTTGATAATTACTTGAACCCAGTGTTTTTTTTCCATGTCCTGTTAAACAGATTTGTAACCCTATTTTCAAAAGGTATCATAGAAATTATCATTTTCAAACCATGCTTGTAACTTTTAAAAATTTGGTTGTGTGTACAGTAAATAGGAGTTGCCCAATTCTTGTATATTTGTCATTGTTATTTTTAGATGCTACATGTTAAGGATTTAAAATGCCAAAAATTTAGATTACAGTAACTTTATTATGTACAAAAGTCAATTATAAAATATTTCCTTTTGGCAAATACGGAATCAGTGAGGACGATAAATTATAAATACAGTACACATTTACAGAAACATCATTCCTTGATCCTCCGTACTTCTGTCTCAAACAGTAAAGTGACTTCATCACTACCGTATTTTCACGCACTCGGCAATCTTTGTTACTGCCGGGTACATAAGATGGAGTAGTCATGTGATGAGTGTGGGGGTTGTTGGCATTGCAGAGGGTAAGGATTTCACGTGTTACATAATAAATTGTGTGGGGGGTTGTCATTTACAGCTATGTAATACATAAATACTCTCACACCAGTGGAGTGGAACTTAATTGCAAGCCAGCAATATTCCTGCAGAGAAATTGCCACCATTCATTTTATTATCTTTGCACTCTGTAATTACCCTGATAGTCCTCAACGTGTGAAAAAGTTATTGTGGCATTTTTCTACTGGAATACTATATTATGACCAGGGAATGGCATATGAAGGGCGAGTGTATGAGACTTGGGGCTAGTCTATGGTACGGACTTTTTGCAATGGGATCGACGACTGTGTGTGCCAAGTATATTTCTTTATGACTTGGACAACATTCCTCCTGTTCAACAAGTGGAATTCCAAGCCACACTGAAACCACAAATTAGCACATATCACTGCTAAATTACTCACTTATACATTGGTTAGGATTCATTGTGTGATTTCTCATTTACAGAAAAAATATAAATGGAGCATCTTCAAAAAAGTCATCTTCAAAATACATTCATGAGCCATAATGAGAACAGAAGAAAAAATATAATTTCATCCTACAATTTGCGACAACAACCTTTTCAGAACACTAAATTTACTCTAAACCAGTAATGTGTTTACATTCTAAGTTATGAGTAGGATTGTTGAGGGTCAGTATATTATGGAACACTAAGGATCTGGTACTTGAGACTTTGACGAGAGTAGGGAGGGGCTGTAAGTACATAGTTCTGGGTTGAACACAAGTCAGAGTAGAAGTCACCAACTACGTTATGGTGAAATACAACAAACTTAAGTTACACATTTCAACTTGAAATGGGTATTGCCACAGTAGTTAGTCAAAGGCTTCAACTCTTTGATGTGTGTAAGACTAGTCCACTGTTGATATTACTAAATTTATTTGCTATAGACTTGTGATATGGTAAAAGGAATACTAAAACATTACCCTAATGGAGAAGATTCGAGTTGAGTCAGTAAGTACAGAGCGGGTTGACCCACATGTGCATATTTCATTCACTTATGGTTCATTGTGCATGAAGAAAACAGTGAAACCAATTTAGAAAAAAGAACGCTGGTAATAACTTCTCAAACTATATGAGCAAGAATTTTCTATAACATCAAATAATATGTTAACTTTAAATGTTGCTAACAATGCATTCAGTAATTTCCATTTTCTGCTGCCCACGTATACTTAAAACATGCGACTCTCTAACAACAGTTCTTTAGAAATCAGAAAATTTATTCTTTAAACATGATAAAAATAGGCAAATGGAAGATGTAAAGTAAAACTGGCAGTGATATAATATTGAATGAATAAAAAAAAAAAAAAAATACTGAAATAAGCATAATGGGCTATGTTCTGCTATTAATCTAATTTTGTATCCATGTAATTAGTTATATGATCAACTTTCAATTGTCAGAACTCCCATATGGAGGAAAATATTGGGGCATTTGGAACATGGACATCTTCTAAATACAGCCTTAAAAGAAAAAGCACTATGAGAAAAAAGTCTACATACAATCACTACTGCTGCTATGGCATAGTACAGTTACCAGTGACACAGATGCTATGTACAGTTCTCTAAAGTGGCTCACTGATATGGGTACATTCAAGATAAAACTTTGAGTGTACTGTACATAAACTGGTTGAATTGCGTAACAGCACGTCACATGTTGACAACTACACACGGCAGTCACCACATCAATGATGTGTAACTAGCAATATGTTCTTTGTATGGTGTAAATTATGCTGCCAAAGCATTATCAACTAGACCTGGTAAAAAACGGGTAGTGGCATGAATAACAATGTGGGAGAAATGGTTTTTGCTTTAAGTGTCTTTGAATCAAAATGAGCATTTGTTTGGCAAAAACAAAATTGGAGTGTGTGTTTGTGGTGAGATGCATGCTACATTATTCTTATTACAACTATAAGTATACTGTTAGCTTAAACCATTCGGTTTCGTGTACTAGAAAATTTCTAATTGTACAATTTACAAAATCTTGTATATTACTGTTACTGCCTTTTTATCAAGTCTCGGTTAACCTCCAAGTCCTAGTAATCGTTAACATGTTCCCTAGAATTTATATAATTTTCTAACAATTTCAATTTACAAAAGGCACTTGGAACAACACCAAAATATTGTTACATGGCAAGAATGTGGTTGAGAGAAACAATAAGCTTTGTACTGCCTCTAAGTCTGGAAATAAATGAGGCAATGCTTACTTATATTGCTGTGTTTAATGAGTTAAATCTTGCATTGCAAAAACACAAAAATATTAAAACATTACTGGTTATAATGCCCCTCTCCTTACACAAAATTATTATACACTGTGCATAGTGTGTGTGTGTGTGTGTGTGTGTGTGTGTGTGTGTGTGTGTGTGTGTGTGTGTGTGTGTGTGTGTGTGTGTGTGTGTGTGTGTGTGTGTGTGCGCGCGTGCGTGTGTGCTTGTGCATGCATGTGTTATTTGTGTGAGAGATCCCAAGTGGTAATTGTGTTTAATTACTACACTAAGTGGTAATTATCTAAGTGTGTATGTTTGTGTTGTATGTCGTACCTCCTACCTAATAGCCAGGACCATACTACTAGGCCTAGTATGCACGGGTCATTTTGCCTAACAGCCAAAGTGATTTTTATATACTTTTCTAAATTTGTTCCCCTTATTATATTAACTACATGAATTATTATCTTAGACCTTGTTTTACATGTTAGGCCATATTGAGCCATAAGCAACCTAAACTAAATATGCCACAAGTTAATTTTGGGTCAGATTATAACCAAAAAAATTGCATTTTGTTTATTAAACTTGTCTATAATGTCAAAATCTTGTTAGAAATACATTTTTAACAAGATTCAGCTAGTTAGGCAGCTCTAGCTATTAAGCATGACATACATGTTTAGATTTACTATTTGTATTTACTATTTCTACCTGCAGGATTGAGCTATTAGCTCTTGGACCCCACCTTTCTAATGTTGGTTGTCAAATGTACGGACTTCTGACCTATTTTCCTCATATCTACAGTACATATATTTCTCACACACAGATGCCTAGGATGCAGCCCTCAGGAGATATTTTAACTCCCAGGTCCCTATTTATTTCTAGGTGAACAGTGGCATCAGGTATAAGACACTGCCTATTTGTTTCTGCCTTGGTTGGGAATCAAACCATGGGCCCTTTGGACTGTAACCACCGAATGCTGTCCGCTCAGCCGTGTGTGTGTAATTACCCAAGTGTAGTTACAGGATGAGAGCTACGCTCGTGGTGTCCCGTCTACCGAGAACTCTTTGTCATGTAATGCTTTGAAGCTACTGACGGTTTTGGCCTCCACCACCTTCTCACTTAACTTGTTCCAACCGTCTACCACTCTTTGCAAAAGTGAATTTTCTTATATTTCTTCGGCATCTTTGTTTAGTTAGTTTAAATCTATGACCTCTTGTTCTTGAAGTTCCAGGTCTCGGGATATCTTCCCTGTCGATTTTATCAATTCCTGTTACTATTTTATACGTAGTGATCATATCACCTCTTTTTCTTCTGTCTTCTAGTTTTGGCATATTTAATGCCTCTAACCTCTCCTCGTAGCTCTTGCCCTTCAATTCTGGGAGCCATTTAGTAGCATATCTTTGCACCTTTGTGTGTGCGCGTGTGTGTGTGTGTGTGTGTGTGTGTGTGTGTGTGTGTGTGTGTGTGTGTGTGTGTGTGTGTGTGTGTGTGTGTGTGTGTGTGTGTGTGTGTATGTGTGTGTGTGTGTACGCGTGCATGTACATGTACGTACATACACACAGCATATTTATATAATTTTAAAACAAAGCAGCATCCATCCTTATTATTGCCTGGCATGTTGAAACTCACCTATTTGAGGCTATTGTCACTAAACATTTTGTTGCTCAAATTATAGGCATGTTATAGTGGCTACAGAACAGGTCAAGATTGGAAATAAGCTATGAATTGTGGCCATTGAGTTACGTTAATATAATACCATGTACAATTTTAAGATCTATTCATATACATACAGTATATCAAAACAAAAAAAATACCTATTTTGTAGGATTTTCTGTTTTTTGAGAAAACTACTTTGCCTGTTCTTTGAGCACCTGAACTCACCTTAATGTTGAGGACTCCACCTGAGAGTTCCAATATACAGTATCTCCTTACCCCCGCATTCTCTTTAACACAAGTGAGTAGACAAGTTCTAGCAGATCCTAATCCTTAAGATTCACATATGAACCCCACAAGATCCTCAAACTGATTTATCTACAATTTAAATGTATCAGACATACCCAAGATTGTCATAGAGCATCTTAACCAGTGGAGCTTAGCCTAAGTGCTTCTCTTAACGATATAGGATCTTCCTTACAGCTTACTGTGTTTGACCCACATGTCATGAATTCAACTTGTCTGATAACAGCATTCCATCAGTCACTATATACAAAGCACTGTTTATCAAGTACTTGACAAGAAGTAAATAATGTTAAACATAAAAGGACAAATATCCATGGCCAAAGGCTATCACATACAGTGGTAAATGATTTTTTTTTCATCCAGGTGATGGTGCAGTAAACTTGAAGTTTACAGTAAACTGTCAACATAAAATTTTATATTAATAATCTTCTAATTTCTAATACCCATGTAATTGTGCAAACACAGGCAAGAGCTGTAGTATGTTGGTTACATTGGTCAGCAAGTGTGACTGCACCACCACGATATGCTCCACTACACGACTGGTGTCGATGGCCTGCCATACACCTCTCATACCAAGGTGCTCCCATCAACCTTTATATGACACCACTAAGGAGCCCAACATTCCCTCGCATAAGTTTTATACACTCTAAGTACTGTATCTGTTTTGATCATACACATGAGCTGCCACAAAATATATATTTTTGATCCAGGAGAGTCAATGGCTATGTTCACACCATTTAGCAGCACCAGCATCTCTTACAATTATCTATAGGTCACAAAGGCATTATTTAATGTACTACTTTTGCTCTATAAACACATATGCCTTGAGAATTACACTAGTTTTATATATAATATTTAAACCTGATAATAACTTCTTCAAAAAACTGGCTAGCAATTTTTGTATTTTTAAACAACTTTTAATGGATTTAATGGAAACATTGTAAAAAAAAACTCACCTAGTATAATCTAATTGAAGTGAACATAGCAATATATAAAAGGAAGGGTAAGATATTTATATTAACTGATCATGCTAGTTTATACCAGCTACTGAGCTAGATTTTGACTCGGTGAAACAAAGACAAAAAATGCAACACATCTTAAGCCCTCTGTTAAAGTTGCTGCAAAATAATGCACACACATAAAACTTTCCCTATAAGTCGTCAACATGATGCCTAGTACAATAATCAAGAATATTTATGCTGTAATGCACGATACTTGGCAAATGATTGATTGCCATGAATTGAGAGGAATATCAATGTTGTTCACATTAATTTATAAAATACAGGCCATTAAATAAAATCTATTCAGTATATGAAGTTGCATGTGAGAGAGCAGAGCTTAACCATCCAAGTTGCATGTGAAAGTAGAGCTTATCCATCCAAGCAATTAGATGAGCAAGGATGAGAGTAAAGACAAATTGCAATTTAATGAATTAGGGAGTTGGAAAGAATGAGCTCGTTGATCAATTCAAGAAGCTTTGATGAAACATGTCTGCAGCTGACCAACACTGGCATAAATTACCAAGAAGGCATAACCAAAATACATTAAATAACGAACATATATACAAATACTAAAGCATAAAGATGATGATGATGATGATGACAGTGATGGAAAATGCTAATGAGAAGAGGCATGAATGAGGATAAAATAACCTTGAGAAGTGGTCACCAACTCCCCTGGGGCAAAAGCTCGAGTAATGATCCAAGTTATTTAACACATTTATAAACATTCCACATCAGTCTGCTTCATACAAATACACAAATTTATCCAACATACCTTGTGGTCACAAGTAAAAAAATGACAAGAAGCCTCCATAAACTCTAGAGACTGACAAATCATACATCGCCCATCACAACATACACATCACTCATTCAGGCTGGAAAAAAAAAGATGGACAATATGACAAGTTCTTGACATATAAAACACTTGAAGATCTACATTTGATGGTACAGTACTCGGGAAATACATTAGATTTTTGTCCAAAGGTTATACACAGCCCATGTACATATAAATCAAGTATATACAGAGCTATACCCTATTGTGTGAATATGAACACCTTTGACAGATCCACTGTGCAATACATTAATTGGCTTTCAACATTTATGTGAACAAAATTCAACTGCTCCAGTTGATCCAAAATATCCATCATTAGACTGGTACCAAGACCACACTATATGCAATTTTTCCTTACAACTTCCCCCACCCCCACTTTCTTCACAATATGTTTAACCTCAAACTTTTCATTCTCTTAAATCCATTTTCTTTCGCAAAACATTCACAAATTATATTCACCAGCGACATTGTTTATTCTGCATTACCAATGTCTAAATAATGTTCATAAGACTATTTTGCTGTTCTTAGGAATGTGTGGTGAGATGTGTTGCCATAAACGGAAGAAAAAGGGAGAGGAATGTTGCAATGAAGGATACGCTGGTGGACCAGGGTGATGAGTTCAAGGTTAGTTCTTCATTCTTAACTACTTCATTTTCACTACGGTCTGGCTGGCGGGTGTCTGCAAAAGAGGGAAACATTTTAGTTGTTAATTTTAATGCAATATAAGAATAATCAACCAAAGTTGACCTTAGAATAATAATAATAAAAAAAAGAAAATGATTGAATGCCCCTTTTCTGAACAGGTCCAATATCCCCTGTGCACTACCTCTGGTATCACAAACATCCACACATCAATAAGGCCTACTAGTAACCAGGACCAGAATTTGGTTTACTAATAGAGATGAGATGAGCATGAAGATCCGAGATCAAACCAAATATAACTGAATAAAACTTCCCAGGAAATATTGTATAGGCAAAGCAAAACAAGCTATATCTTGATTAAAGAGGGAGAAAAAAACATAATAAGAGGTAGTTTGCCCATGTCCACAGTCACAATAAGTCCCACACCCACTTTCCTCCAAATGTGTATGAAAAAAATGGGTGTGTTTTTTGCATTTTCCTTACATTTTCCATGCAAATGTATTTTATAATAACAAATTATTATTATTATTATTATTATTATTATTATTATTATTATTATTATTATTAATAGCTGCACACTAAGGGTTAAAGATTTGGCAGCCTCTTTCCAATTGAGAATGCTCAAATGACAGAAATGAGCCCATTCATCCAAGGAGAATAAAGGATTGTCCACCATCCAGGAGAAATCTGATCTCACAACCAACCCATTCTCCTGTTTAGATAGTAGTTTTTGGTAACTATGTTCACCATGGTACAAAGATTGCCGTTTTAAGCAATTAGATAGTAGAACTTTGTACTATTCACTTTATAGTTTAGAAATGAAACTTAAAAATCAAATTTAAATATTCCCAGGCCTAGTATAGCAAACATGTGTACTATATTAGGCCTCAAATATCGTGTATTAGGGCTCGGAAGGTTAGGTTAGTTTAGTTTAGTTTGTCTTTGCAATACAAGTAGAAAATAGTTTTCCAGTTTTTGTCCAACTCAATAGTGCCTATTTCTACTTTCTAATTTTGTTGTATGTTGGTATATATATATATACTGTATATTATATATATATATATATATATATATATATATATATATATATATATATATATATATATATATATATATATATATATATATATATATATATATATATATATACTGTACATACACATACACACACACACACACACACACACACACACACACACAGTGGCACCTCGACTTACGATTGCCCCTACTTACGATAATTTCGAGTTACGATGTAAATTTCATCGAAAAATGCGATTCGACATCCGATGGTGTCGTCGACTTACGATATTTGTTGGTACACGTTCGGGTCGACCGAGTGCATGGTTCCCGGGTCAGGCGGCTGACCTGCCTCAGTTTACTACAGCTGCCCGCTTAGTGATGATCACGCCTATATGAAATTTCGCTTTTGTGGTGATATTTTGCATTTTGAACATTAAAGTAATTATTATATATCACGCCATGAGTCCCAGGAAAGTCAGTAGTAAGGCTCAAGATATGAGATCCCATGTAAGGTTGACCATAGAGCAGAAACAAGAGATCATTCGTAAATATGAAGATGGTGTGTGGGTTGTTGGTCTGGCTAGGCAGTACAACAAATCTCAGTCAACGATATCCACCATACTGGCTAAGAAAAAGGACATTATGGGTGCTAAAGTGATGCATCATTACAGACAAATGTTAAAACGAAGGGTAAAACAAATGTCTCTTGACAAATTTGTAATGAGACAAACAAGCACTGAACCACAACCAGGTCCTAGTGGTATTCAGGCAAAACGTAGGAGAGAGAGTACCCCAGAGAAAACATCATTGCCTGATATGATAATGGAAGACGACTCCCCTTCCAAACAGTAACAACTCTCCTCCTTCCCCCTTATCACCATCTTCCATATGCCATCAACAGCCCCCCATAAAGGTAAGATAAACTTAGGTACTGTATTGTAGTTAGAAAAAAAACATTGTATTCAGTATAAAATGTATTTGTATGTTAATATTTTGGAGGGTGGGGGAATGGATTAATACAAATCCCTTTATTTCTTATGGTAAAGATCAGTTCGACTTGCGATATTTCGACTTACGATCCGTCTCTGGGAACGGATTAGCATTGTAAGTCGAGACCCCATTGTATATATATATATATATATATATATATATATATATATATATATATATATATATATATATATATATATATATATATATATATATATATATATATATATATATATATACAGTACTTTCGTATATTAATACATCTTTAGAAGGGAGACGTTAGTTTCATATAAACTAATATACGAAAGTACTTAAGTACTTTATATACTTGCAATATACGTACTTACGTACTTATATTGCAACATTATATATATATATATATATATATATATATATATATATATATATATATATATATATATATATATACTTGCATAACACAACTACCTTCCAGTAGCTGGCATAACTAGTATGCTTTAACCCACTACGCCATCAGACCTTACAAAAGAAGTAGATATTCGAGATATATATATCTCAAACATCTCTACCTAAGGCACCAGATGAGTGAGGGGTCAGTCTGCAATTTTCGTCAAGCACACTCGTGTCCAGCTTATAAGCCTATACTTGCATAAACACAAGTGAAGATAAACAATCTTTGGACACACCCACCAGTGGGACAACCACAAAGCACAACTACCCACACACACACACACTACACACACCTTATTAGGATGGAATCTCTACCTCCCGAGGCATTAGGCAGTGATGTGGTGGAGGCTGACTCCATACACCCAGTTTTAAAGTAGATTTATGCATGATAGAGCCCAGTAGGCTCAGGAATCTGTACACCAGTTGATTGACAGTTGAGAGGCGGGACCAAAGAGCCAAAGCTCACCCCTCCCCCGCAAGCACAAATTTGTAGGTGAGTACAACTATAGGTGAGTACACACACAAAGATTGTATATATATATATATATTATATACACACACACACACACACACACACAGGTGGGGTGGGGAGTCGGTGGCTGAACGGACAGCACGTTGGACACGTGATCCTGTGGTACCGGGTTCGATCCCAGGCGCCGGCGAGAAACTATGGGCAGAGTTTCTTTCACCCTATGCCCCTGTTACCTAGCAGTAAATAGGTACCTGGAAGTTAGTCAGCTGTCACGGGCTGCTTCTTGGTGTGTGTGTGTGAGTGTGTGTGGTATGGTGTGGGGGGGGGAAAAATAGTAGTAGTAGTAATAGAAACAGTTGATTAACAGTTGAAAGGCAGGCCGAAAGTGAGTGAGTGAGTGAGTGAGTGAGTGAGTGAGTGTGTGTGTGTGTGTGTGTGTGTGTGTGAGTGTGTGTGTGTGACACACACAAAGGGTGACAGACAAGAGGCACTGAACTACAGGCCAGTGTCCCTAACTTGTATACCATGCAAGGTGATGGAGAAGAATGTGAGAAAAAACCTAGTAACACATCTGGAGAGACGAGACTTCGTGACAACCCATCAACATGGGTTCAGGGAGGGTAAATCTTGCCTTACAGGCTTAATAGAATTCTACGATCAGGTGACAAAGATTAAGCAAGAAAGAGAAGAATGGGCGGACTGCATTTTTTTTGGACTGTCGGAAAGCCTTTGACACAGTACCCCATAAAAGGCTGATGCATAAGCTGGAGAAACAGGCAGGAGTAACTGGTAGGGCACTCCAGTGGATAAGAGAGTACCTAAGCAATAGGAAGCAGAGTGTAACAGTGAGGGGTGAGACCTCAGATTGACGTGAAGTCACCAGTGGAGTCCCACAGGGCTCTGTACTCGGACCTATCCTGTTTCTGATATACGTAAATGATCTCCCAGAGGGTATAGACTCATTCCTCTCAATGTTTGCTGATGACACCAAAATTATGAGAAGGATTAGGACAGAGGAGGACAGCTTGAGGCTTCAAAAAGACCTGGACAAGCTGCAGGAATGGTCGAACAAATGGTTGTTAGAGTTTAACCCAAGGAAATGTAATGTAATGAAGAGAGGGGTAGGAAGCAGGAGACCAGATACAAGGTATCATTTGGGAGCCGAAATACTTCAGGAGTCAGAGAGAGAGAAAGACCTGGGGGTTGATATCATGCCAGACCTGTCCCCTGAAGCTCATATCAAGAGGATAACATCAGCGGCATATGCCAGGTTGGCTAACATAACAATGGCATTTAGAAACTTGTGTAAGAAATCTTTCAGAACATTATATACCACATATGTCAGGCCAATCCTGGAGTATGCGGTTCCAGCATGGAGTCCATATCTAGTTAAGCATAAGACTAAACTGGAAAAGGTTCAAAGGTTTGCCACCAGACTAGTACCCGACCTGAGAGGTATAAGCTACGAGGAGAGACTACGGGAATTAAACCTCACTTCATTGGAAGACAGAAGAGTTAGGGGGGACATGATTGCCACATTCAAGATTCTCAAGGGAATCGACAGGGTAGATAAAGACAGGTTATTTAACACAAGGGGCGCACACACTAGGGGACACAGGCGGAAACTGAGTGCCCAAATGAGCCACAGAGATATTAGAAAGAACTTTTTTAGTGTCAGAGTGGTTGAAAAATGGAATGCATTAGGAAGTGATGTGGTGGAGGCTGACTCCATACACAGTTTCAAGTGTAGATATGATAGAGCCCAGTAGGCTCAGGAACCTGTACACCTGTTGATTGACGGTTGAGAGGCGGGACCAAAGAGCCAGAGCTCAACCCCCGCAAGCACAACTAGGTGAGTACAACTAGGTGAGCCGGTGGGGAGCCGGTCGGTCGAGCGGACAGCACGCTGGACTTGTGATCCTGTGGTCCCGGGTTCGATCCCGGGCGCCGGTGAGAAACAATGGGCAGAGTTTCTTTCACCCTATGCCCCTGTTACCTAGCAATAAAATAGGTACCTGGGTGTCAGTCAGCTGTCACGGGCTGCTTCCTGGGGTGGAGGCCTGGTCGAGGACCGGGCCGTGGGGACACTATAAGTCCCAAAATCATCTCAAGATAACCTCAAGATA